ACAAGGAAGAAAAAAAAAAGAACAAGATTACTCGGGATGTATTGACCTGTCGTTTAGCCGTGACAAACGACGATAATACTGATCCAGCGTCGAAACGATCCGCGGATCGAAACAGTAGTTCAACCGAAATAAATTACCGCCGAGCATAAATACGAACGAATTGTCCAGCTACGAATAAATATTCAGTTACACAGAAGAGGTTTTTTATCTACAGTAAAAACTAAAAGGAGAGGTGAACGAATAGGAGGGAAAAGAAGTGAAGAAAGACGCCGCAATTAATAATCGTGACTCGGACGTGCATCACGGATCGTCTTGATCGTCTCGGCTGATCGCGGATCCATTATATTATAATAGTTAACGATACTAATTATTATAACGGGTTATAATAATTAATATCCGCTCGTATAAATACATTGTCGACTGAGTCGGCTTCTTGTACGCGTTCGCTCTTAATAGTTACATAATTAATTACAGCTTAACATGTACGTACTCGACACGATCGGCTCCGGCTTCAGCTCGAAAAAAAATAATCTCTGACGAGATTTCGATTCCCGTCGTTACGAAAGTCATGCGCTTGATTAGGGGGCTCGCAGTGAAGTCACGATCCTCGTCGACGAATCGCTAAAACGCATTCAACATGGCTACCTAACCGATTTTAACACTAGGTTCACGGACGTTTATTGTACGGTTTGTTCTGTTGATCTCGGAATAATTAATTTTCGTTTGTTTCGGTCTTGGACATTTGAGATTTGAAAATAGACTATGGGGATACGTATTCGCGTAATTGCATCGATCAAGAACGACGCGAATCTTATCAGATGATCTTGACAGAAATTCAGTATGCGTTTAAATTGACGCGTTCGGTGAACCTAGTGTTAAACGAGTCCCATTTCTGATCTTCGTCATTCGTTTCTTCAACATAAATTATTACAGTTAAATAAATTACTAACGCTAAAACCATCTACCCAAAGTGGATCACAAATTGTTTTAGTGTAAATGCTGCGCATAGATTTTCATGTTTTAAATAATATATATTAGCCTGTCGACTGCGACGCGTTGATATTTCTCAAAATCACGACTAAATAACGTGAAAAAAGTTATATACGCGCGTTTATCATTTATGATTGCAATGCGCGAGTTAAAACAGGCGACATGTTTTATACACAAGTGTCGACCCTCTGCGAAGTCCACGTGACATTGAAGTTGCATGTTAATGTATCAGCATTCCGTTGATTTATTTCATTTGTTACTAGATGGTGAACATTTGATGCCGTTGAAACTCCAAAATTCAAAAGTATACTCGTCACAATGAAATCACTAAAACCGTTGAGTAGTTAATTTACATTTAGAGATCGGCGTGTGTTAATTTCACACCACGTAAATTCATTTATATAGAAACCGTGGGTCGCAGAGGGTTAACCGAAAAATTCGCCATTGAAAGGAGCTCACCGGGTTTTAAAAAGAAGAGGACCGAGAAGACTTCTTTTCTTATCCTGGAAACAGGTCTCTCGACAAGGATCGTTTTCGCTTCGCGCCTCCTCGATCGCCTCTCTTTGCGTGTGCGTTCGAAGAAAAACCATTTCTTACAACGTTTAGTACACATATGTACAAATATCACGAACGTAGAAAACAATAATGAAGATGCGAAGAGGAGGAGGGGGGAATAAAAGCTTCGTTACAATATAGATCGTGAAGGTTTGCTGAATACATACGTATCTGGTTTAACACTATGTTTACCAAAGGTGTCGAAGGACTTTTGAAACGTTAGCATCAAATTATTGTCTAAGCTCAGACCCAAGGGAAGGAATAGTGGTATATTTAACTATTCTTCTTACGCGTACTTGCTTTCACAAGTATATTTCTTTTTATTAGGTACTAATGATATTAATGGTTTAATAATCGTGAAAAAAGAGGGCGATCAATCTCTGACTACCCTATTACTAAAGTATCATAATCATCATAACTATAATCACCATAATCACAATCATGATAATCGTAATAGTCATAATGATCATTATAATAATTATAATCAGTACAAGTCGAAAGATCGACAAGTCAAACGATCGAACTTAGAAAATAATTTTAACCGAACATTTCAAAAGGCGTCTCTCGACAGCTTCGATAAAAACATTGTTAAATTGGTCTCAGGTTTCGTCCTATCCTATTTCGTCGATAATGAAAAGCAGACCTCTGTCTGCCCGAGTTCTCCCAACAGCCGAGAAACAGCGACTTGGAATGTTTGTTGGTTGCTGATCCGAACAGATATTCGCGTGCTCCCCGTAGAACACCAATGGAAGCCCCAATCCACTTCCCCCGCTATCAGCTTGCGATCGTCGTCTCGATCGATCGATCAACGGTCTCGCAATTAAATAATACGTCTAACATCCAATCGCAACCTTCGAACGATCGCGTAAGTTCTCCCGTGACCCCGGGAAATCACGGAGTACCGGTCCCATCGACCTGTCCGAGGTTCTATCTTGAAAAGCGACTTCTCCCTATCGGCGTCGTTGTAACTCCGTTCTCTTTCTCTCTACTTGGTCGTGTGTTCGTTGAAGGTTTCGACAGACGACGCGGCGTCTGCGGACCTTACCAATTTGGCAGCAATTCCGGTAGATTGTGACAGTGTAAGTGGAACGTCTTCGCCTAGGTCTAATCGTGACTGGTCTCTTGTGGCCAGTAGTATGATCAGCAGACACGTTAGCGCTAAGTAGCTAGCATCCTTCCTTGAACCGAGGACTATGTCCTTTGGCTACTCTTCGAGCTCCAGAAATATTTAAATCTTTCAATTGAATTTATACTTTAGGGTATATAGTAGAACCTGCTACAACGTGATTAAAATATTCTTTGTTTGCATCAGTTTCTTATGGACAATCTCACTTTCATAGATATTTTCTGACGATTTTCCAATCGCGTTATAGGGGTTCTATTTAGGTAGTCCTAGACCATCTACATGGTTTCTCGACTGCTGATACACTACTGGTACAATGCTTCCTTTCTACGTTTAAGATGTCTTTTTAACTGATACGAAACTGGTCCTGACGGTCGCAGCGCGTTCTGCGATCCGATAGCTCACGGTTCAGTGTAATCTGTTGCAACACGGCTCTGAGACTTCTAGTTTACGCGTGATGTAAGTACAAAATCGACGATCGGAACACGGTGATCATTCACGGAATAAGATGATCAAAGTTTCTTCGAAGCAACTGTTTTTAATTTATATCGATTCAAACGTTGCGATTATTTTGTGGTTTTTCATGCACTTCTGGCTGATTGAAACGCGTAAAATCAAATAAAGAATCTTAATAAAATTGTCAGCTTATCTTTGCTTGTCTAGTTTAAAAAATTGTGAATTTTTGTAAAATGTTCTTAGTTTAATCACGAGTTAACGAACCATAAAAGTCTTCGAATGAATGAGTAAAAACAGTCTTTGCCGAATGCTGAATTGAATCGGAAGTTATTACTCGTGTTCAGTTGCATAATGAATAGAATATAATGGATGTATCTCCATTCACGAAACCATGGGAACTTATTTCACGCGTAAACCAAAAGACTCGTCTACTTCCCGGAGGAAACATGGAAATCTCGATCAACGGGAACTCTGTCCCGAACCTAGCCTACCGACACGCCTCGTTGTTGCATTCTCAAATTACATGGTTTGCGCCGGAAGTTCCCAAATCGAAATTGAAACAACAATTTCTCGTAATGCTTCGTTGCTTTCCATCCTAAATCATCCTAACTAGTTTACTACTGAAAATGTATACTGCTCACAATAATCACAACAACTTTGGGAATAAGTTTGATACTACAAGATGGTGGATAAAGCGGGCATCATGAAAAGTCTATGATCATACCATCATATCATTATACATTCGATTTATATTCACAATTTAACAGGAAGAAAACAGTGACGCGCAGTTAAATGAAGTAACTATACCAAGTAAAATACTTAACATCTTACAAAATAAACAAATTCCTCTAAAAGTCAAATGCTTCAACAATCCCTGCGTTCACCACATTGAAAACAGAGTATCAAAGTTACACCCACAGTCGGTACAGCGTGTTACAATGACAACAAAAACTTCGAAAATCAACAGGATACAAATCGCAATTAACTAAGTTTCCCTCCAATGGGAACGATTGTTCAATTACCCAAAAATCTCTGTGACACGCTAAGCGCGGAAAATCTATAAATTAATTACTTATAAATTCGCAAACTTATAATCACAATGAATCCACAGATTATCCAGCCCTAATCGCAAGAGATTCCAAAACAAATCTAACAAACATTTTCTTTGCAACACACTGTACAAGCAGCATATAGCCATTGCACCCTTGGAACGAATCACACGAAAAATCATTGTCTCAGCTTCCATTCAGTCTTCACGACGAACTAACCGTGTCTGGGCAAGATCCTCGGGTTCCTAAGCTAGGTAGGTTCTAGGGTTCGTCTTTGGGTTGCCAGCGGAATCGTCTTTCGTGGTGCAGGACCAGGCCTCCTCGGCCAGGCTGCCGTACCTCTGGACACCTGGGAAAGGTGGTCCGCTGCTTTGGGGCGAGTAATAGCCGCCCTTCAGCTGATAGTAGTTACCAGACTGCTGGTATTGGTACTGATCGCCAGGTGGCAGAATGTTGCTGTACCCGGAATAGGAGCCGTACTGCGAGGAGTACGTCGACGAGTATCCCCGCTCGCTGAGACTCCTGTAAGGCCCCGAGTGTTGGGGCCTGCCCTCCTGTCAAACGGGAGTGCTCACTGCTGCGCTGGTTATGTAATCGATGTCGCCGATGCTCTTCACTCTACGGTGCCTCTTGTTCCCGGTGATCGGCCTGGGCGGCAACTGCGGCGGCGGCGGCGAGTTGCTGCGAGCGCTGCTCATGTACTGGCTCGCCAGGCTCCCGGTGTCCGAGGAGGACGACGGGGAGGCTTTCTCGCTCCTGGGTCGCAGACCGAGGGCTCGACTTAACGATCCCTGCGGAAGGACGATCGACGATTAGCATTGGTGCGTATGCAACGGGTGCTTCGTTAGACAAAATACAGCGAACTTGTGAAATTGAACACGAGTTTGTTGACCGACCATTTGAGGAACAATGTTTCGCGAATATGATGCTGAAGAATTTGCGTCCTTTGTAATGATGTTTATTAAGCATTGTAAGTGAAAGATTTGTCCTTGCACCTCAACAGTCTACACTTTGGCACAAGCAACTTTTTCGTTGATATCAGAGAGAAGCTTCGTTGAATACTATATAGCTCCTTCGAGGAATTATATCAATTCTCAGAAAATGAGATTGATAGCTTGTGTTTATTTGAATTTTAACAGTTTGCAAGTTTGTTGGTTGGTTAGATCAGTATGGCGTAGTGAAAGGGGATTTGACTATTTTTTGAGAAGTGATACTGTTTCCTGAAGGAGTTGCTGGGTTGTTTGGAATGATTTAAGATGGCGTGGTATAATAACTGCCATCGACGAATTTATTAAGTAAATGAGTTGTACTATTAATCATTCATTTTTCCAAGGGTTTTATTGGTTGATCGTGTTAGTTTTGTAAGAAGCAAATTTTACGTGTTCGCTGTATGTTGTCAATTAATTCGATAGGAATGATGAGGGAATCATGAATAGACTGAGGATGTTCGTGGATGTATCACTTGACTGTGGACGTCCATGCGAAGTCAGGGTCTTTGAGTAGAAGTTATATTGAAATTAAAGATGGAGATGGCAGAATGGTCACTTGATGACTCCTTTAACACTCAAAATTCTAATATGGGATGTTTTTATAAATGCCTTATGATTCTTTCAGAGTTATTCGATGATATGCTTTCAAAGCATTCGAGCAAGCATTGAAAATCGAACATTTCGAGAAAACGGTTTCCCTAAAATGAGAAAAATAAGCTATACCGAAGCAAACCTGATAAGAGGATACTGATAGAGACACCTGAGTTCTCTGAAATGAGTTTGCGAATTTATTAGACGGCAGACATGATACGTCGATGTGTCTAGGGTTCGTCAAAAGTATCGAAACTTTTCGAAACTGAATTTCGATGTTCCATAGAACTATGAATTATTCCTTTTGGTAATTGGATGCAGCAAGATCGAGACTTTGTCACGAGTTTCGAAATAGTTTCGTGTGAAATGGCGATGGAGGAAACGATTCTGCGTTAGGGATACGCGTGCAACGATACGCTGAGCGAAGGATTTCCAGGATCCGTCAGTCCCGGAAATCAGGGAATCGCGCTGGGAACGATTATTCAGCAGCTCTCTCGCGAACAAAAAGCGATTTTTGTGATCAGTCTCAAAAATAACACAGCAAACATACTTCTTTAGTACTATTTGAAAAGAAATGGAAGTAAGGAAGAGAATGTTTTATGTGATGGATTGAAAAGTATACGCTATTAAGCGGAAGAGAAAGAAGGTACAAGCTGATAACGCATCGAAATTGGCGAAATTTAAATTAATATACATTTTTATTTTTAACATTAATTTCGATATGAATTTCAAACTAATTTTGATGAGTTCTAAAGACAATTCAATTTACGTTAATTATTTCGTAGGTTTTATTAGGTACATGGTGAAGATTTGATCATCGATCGAAATAAATGGAAGAATAAAAATGTTCTAAATATTGAAAATTATAAATTAAAATTAGAAATAATAATTAGAAATCTGGAATTAGAATTAGAAATTAGAAATTTAGCCAGTTTCGATGGAAGGCGTTCGAAAGAAACTCTCAGTGGGAGCGAACAAATGAATCGAAGAGAGAAATCATGAAGAACACGCACGATGAATACGCAAAGTAGATGATGATGGGCGCATACCTGTGAGCTCTTCCACGACAACTAGTAAAGGACGAAACAAGGTCGATTAAGAACCCACACCGTGACTTCCACATTGAAATCGTCAGTTTATATTTACACAATGGCATCGTCATCGTTATTATAATTAGTTTTAGGTGGCTAAAAATCGAGCGACTGCGGGCAATTCGTGTTTTCAACGCGGCATTCACTACAATAATGTATTACCCTTTGGGGAATGGAACACTCCGATTAACATACATTAGAAGGTGATAAGGGTAGCAATCGATTGTTTGCATCTTTTATCCTCTATGTACAAGTGTTTACAGTGTGGCGGCGATACAGTCAGCCCTTCGAGGGAAAATATAGTCGAGGATATACTTAGGGGTCGCGATTGTTCACTCGTAGTTCATCGTGTCTCGTTCGAACTACAAAAACTTATAAATAAATCAATTAATCGATCAGCGATTAAAAACAAAATTGGAAATAAACTGCTAGGCAACAGTCATAAAATTTGAAGAATTACAAATATACTTTTGATCCTTCGCAATGCACATTAGAATAATACAAACTGTAATTGTACAGTATAAATCGTAGAATTTATAATGAACAGTAACCACGAAATATCTAAATCACAGTAATAACAAAAATATTCACATATAATAACAAAGAGTTATTATATAATAACACACACGGTAACAATAATAAAGAAAAATAAATATAATATAATAGAAAACAGATAATACGATATAATGTAAATCACAAAGGTAGTCGTTCAAAAAGAAAAAGATTTTCAAAATTCACAAGAACCGATGAATCACGAATGCGAAGTACGAACCAGATTCTTCTAAAAATTTCACTAACAAGTTAAGCTCGTATTTTTGCGAATATCGCGGTGCCGACTATCGCTCTCTGCAACGACGGAGGACACATTCCCCTCCAATGATCGTCGTATCAGTTGCGATCGTCGGGAAGAAACAACGACGGGTTCACAAGATTTACAAGTAGACGATAAAAGTACAGGAAGAAAGGGTTGAGGGACGGGGATCGTATAGTTTCTCTGTTGAGTTTTCGTATATTTAAGTGCAACGTGATCGCACTCGTGCCCCGAATCAGTCAGTCTTTCGTGTCCTCATTTTCCCCCGTGAATTTTCCAAGCAAGATTTTCCAAAACACGATCCACGACAAATCGGAATTCACTAATTATCTAGAAACTCGAATCGACGGAAACTTGGACGAACCTCGTCGATCTGGGCATCCTTGTTTTGCGTTCGATCGCTGATTACTGCCCGTATCTTCGAGGTTCGTGCAATCGAGGCCGAAATTCGTGGGGATCGTTTAAACCTCGGCGCAACGACGGATGTATTCGCGGTAAACGTTCAAATCAATGGGACAAGCATTCGGACGCTTCGCCGATGTTTAAACTTTGGTTGCCGGACGAGGAGGCATCTTCGGGATCGTTTTGGCGATGATGTCTCGTCGTTCTGCGGGGTGATCTAAGATAACGATGAGTATCTACTATGTATCTACGAAAGTCGAGGGGTCTGCGAGGTGACGCTAGATCGCATTTCCTTGCGTTCCTTCTTTGTGAATTTAGACGAAGAAGTTAAATGGGAGATTTCTTGAAATAAGTTTTACCGTTTTCATTGTCACGCAATTCAAGTAGACTTGGTGTAAATAAATAGGAGATTTTTTAAAGTAATTTTTACTATTTTAATTTCTAGGCAATTCAAGTGAATTAGTCTTGGCGTAAATAAGATTCTAGAAACTATTAATCCTACGGAGAATTTGAAATTAACAAGTTATGCGTATGGTAACATTAATTAATAAAAAATAGAAATTTGTGTTATAACTTTGAGCTTTCATCCAAGACGACTGATGGAATAACTCAATGATGAAATGTTTCAATTATAATTGCACTTAGAGAATTCATGTATTTATCAATTAACGTTAAAAGGTGAAAACTACCCTGAAAGTTAGCTCCAAACTGTAGATCATAATGTAAAAAGATCTTCCAAAAATTACGTTCAGTTATAATCTGGATAAAAGACTAATTTTATAAAGAAACGCTATTACACTCCGGTGTAATGAAAAATATCACAGAATCATAAATATCGATTCGCTATGCTATTTGTGTATCAGTCTCGCAGATGGCGATAAGAGAGATCTATCGTTTCCCTCGCACACACCCAAAGAATTTCCCTTTCGAAGTTTCCCGAAGGATGTTCAACACTTTGTTCGGCGAAGCAAACTCGATGCTCTTTCTCCGACAGATTCCTGTGTATAACACGATTCCCGGGTAAACTCCGTCCGGAAAACTTCGAACGCAACCAGGACTCGTTAACGACACCTTGCCGGTGCCCGTACGACGATAGAATAATGTACAGAGACATAGGCGAAAGAAACGATGGATTAATATAGATCTAGATACATGTACGTATATATATAATATATACATATATACCGAACCTTTTTCAAGTAAAGAAGACTGCAGGTCTGCGACGATCCACAGGATGCAGGGACAATGATTAACGTTAGGTCGAGCTCATAGCTCACAGCTTGGGACCCTTATCGTGCGGAGATTCGACCGCGTTGCGGGTCACGGTTCGTCTTAATCGTAAATCTTCGAATTTGAAAGGAAACGTTAGAAAAGCATCTCGATGAACGAAGTATTGAGTTGGTACGAAAATTTTGACGTTTTTCGTGCGCGGTTAGCGAAACAGTTGTTTTCTTTGAAACAAGTGACATCTGTTTTCAAACTATTGTGAGATTTCCAAAGGACGATTCTTTTTACTTGTTTTTGATTTAGAAAACAGTTGAGCTAGTAAACTAAATCTAAAAACGAAAAACGTCAAAACCGTTACGTCAACCTGATACCATACCTGAGAACCTGGAGCTCTTTCCCTCTTTTCACAGAGTAGCAATCGAAGCGTCCAACAATGTGGAGCGCGTTAGCGTTTCTTTCATCGTGATTCTCGTTTGGTTTGTCTCCAATCGAGGCGACTATTTTCGTTCGACTTATGTCCGCAAAAAGATCGTGTGCTCCGCTTGATAAGGGTCAAGCGAGTTTGGGATGCATCGAGATAGGAGAAAGTATCTTTTTCTCGTATTTTTGGCGGAGTACTGCGCGAGCGTCGTTATCTAAGCGATGCCATGCAATCGTGCCAATGAGAAATAAAAGAGAGACAGAAAGTAACAGAGTAAATATTTACAGAAATGAAACGATGAGAAATCAAACGGCGACTCAGAAAAGGTGCACGGTAAAAAGAAATCCCTCTGGGAATGGTGGCTCGAGTAATTTTCTACGATGAAGCGGCAGATCGATCGCTCCGATCGGGTAAACAATTTCCGCGTGGAACATCCGGCTCGAGCGACCATTGATAATAATGTTATGCGTGACAGTGGTGGTGATGGTTGTCAGTGATGGCTTTCTGTATAGTACCCTAGAATGTTGTGAGGCAGTGTTCAAAATGGAGAGAAAGTCATCCATGACGTTAGTAGTTCAATAGACACTTTGGTGTTATTCAAGGCAGATTGCTTCTGTGAGTAGTTTCTTTTATTGAATATTTACCTATATCCGAATGAAAATCCCGTTACTATAGTTTTATTCAGTGAAACACGTTCAACGCCGCTCAAATATTTATTCTCTTACTTAAGATCCCGTTACGTTTCGAACCATCGTCAACTATCTGACGTCCTTTCGTTCTCATATCTGGCGATTTCTTTGAAAAGTACCACTCCATAGATAACTACTGAAAGCAATAAAAATTAGTTTTCTTTTTACATGTCCACAAGTTCCCCTAGAAAAATAAGACTTGTACAGTATCGTGTGACTGACTTGTCTGACTGACAGTGGTGCTTAGTGCTTTAATGCATAGGGAGCTAGAAGTAAATCATCATTAATCGAACACCAATCGTCGAACATAACCTCATCCTCTTACTTCTGTCTTCGTTTCAGCTACGCTACAGCGAATCGTAGTGATACAAATAACAATCAGAAGTATCTCCCCCTATTTCCAATAGCAACTACCAGTAATAAACGCTAGTAATCGATCACTGAAAGATATGCACCCTCTTCTTTAATTTCTAAATCAGAACCTAGTCTCGTCGCACACGTTCAGGCACATGTACAGAATATGCAGAGTCTACCAAGGCGATTGGTCTGTGCTGCCAACGAACACGTGGCATCGAGGAAAGAGAAGCGATCTGCCAAGAATTGCTTGTACCCCGTGCAAGTTGAAGAAAGAGTACGCTAAGAAGAAGGAGTACCAACGAGTACCCGGTGCAGTCGTGTATGGACCAGGTCTGTAAATCTATACGGTACGTTACCCTGAGGCTGGATCTGCGTCTATCAACCGTGCCAGTGTGATTGGCCGTCATGTGCAGGGCTGAGAGGGAGCTCTGATGATGCTGGAGATGCAACGCCCTGCTTCCTCGACCTAGGCTACCGCCTGCGCTCACGGTGCTCATCGGACGACCCCCGCCAGCGCTGTTCCTCGGGACCACCTCCAGCTGACTTCTACACACACGCACACCACGCTTCATGCACGCCTTTCTGCGTACACGCATCCTGACCGCTAATATGCACACACCTTGGTGACACCGCGGACACACACACGTTCGGCACAGTTTGCAGCGAACCTCTTTTCCCCATTATTCTGTTCCATTTAGGTGCCCTTTCACGAGTGATGGCTGTGGGGTGCTCTCACTTTTAGGAGGTGCGAATTCCAAGTCATGTTTGCAACTTTCTGATGTGTCGGAGGGGAAGGAAACAAAACAGCGTGACGACTCTTTAGGGGATATGCTGGAGAACGTGTGATTACAGCGATGTGAGTTTAGTTGGAGTTTTATTTAAATTGATGGAGACTCGATAAATACTGGTTTCTCTTTTTGTTTGAGGCAAAGGAGTGAAGAGCGATAGAGTTTATTTTATGTGCATAGTTCTGATACTAAGAGAAGCTAGAATTTGATATTATTTTAGATATGAACTGTAGGTCCATGTTTGAAGGAGTTTCTTTCTGAAAGTTAACGTGGCATGATTTAATCAGTATGTCTAGTTTCTAGTGTTTTTGTGAAATGAAGTATGACTAAGGTATACTAAAAAGTTGTATTGATATTGATGCCTTAAAGTTGTAAGATGAGATCAGTCGGGTTGAGAGAAGTGGGAGGTTCTAAAGGTTTCCCATAGAAAAAGTGAAACAGTGCTGAGGATAGAATGAATGTCAGGTTGAAAAATTGTTTTGGCACACAAAATATACGATGAATAACATTTCAACTTTAAGGCTCGCTGCAAGTGCTCGACGTTAGAACCAGATTGATCATAATGAATATCTAGTTACAACATAAATATACATACACAAGCATTTTGTGCACCATTGATATAGAAGAATGTATATGATGTTCGCCGTGCACCGGATGCGCAGGATCGTCCGCGGAGGACCGACCGAGACGCATCAGGGCCGGCTGGTCAATTGGAATAAACACCGAACAGTCAAAAATGTAAATATCAAAGTTGGCAAATCAGAAAAAGGTAAAAGGAACCATAATGCAGACTGGTGTAATCCATGGTTAAACGCAAGATCCAACATATAGCTAGAGCTGTCCAACGTAATCTCTGCAGCTTAGGGAATTTCTAATCTCTATACACGATTACAGAATACTAAGCTAATCTCTATTCAAGCTTAAAATACACAAGTAAACTCACTAGTATAATATGAATCGACGACTGAACAATTTTTAATAGTACACATTTTCAATCCCTTAGGCGTCTGTTTTTTTATTTAACACATGAATCTCAAATATTTCAGGTATAATCATTTCGTATCGTTTAGGGGTATTATATTTAGAGGGATTCGACAGCAAGTCATCGCTACCAGTGTGATCCACACGAATAGCCTATGGAGTACAAAGTAAGAAGACGGTCGAATGGATAACACTCAGCTAGAGGATGGTCCTTGAGCATTTCAACAACATCAAGTTCACACTTGAAACTCAAGAGCAATGATCTCGACTGATCGTCTGGCTAGTGCCACGGATCACACCAGAATTACTAATATTAACATGTGCTGTACATAGCGCAGTGCAGTGCAGGCGGCAGCTGTGGGCTACGGCTCAGCTATGAAAGACATTACCGATGGATCCGCGATCGAGTGGACTGCAGACCCAGCGAATTGCTGCGGTGCCGAGTACAATATGTTTCAAGAATCATTTCATCCGAGTATGTTTGTATATGTACAATTATGTCGACTGTACTGTACTGTATTTACGTGTGTGTATTCCCGATATATCCAAGTATGGCGTGTGTATTACGGATGAGTACTTATTCATTACGACCGGCCTCGACCGACCACGACCGACCGCCGTTCACTCACCGATCGGTCGAGATCGCTCGTGACCCGGCGTGTACATTTACCTCTTTTGCAATCAATCATTTCATCATGTTCGACCCTCGTCATTCCGGTACTCGTGTTTTTTCTGAGACCTTCGTGACATGTCTGATGTCTGATGTCGATGTTTGAATGAACTTATACGTGACACTCGACTGTGCTCAGGAAGCACAGTTCTGATAAATGGTACAATGGTACCTCGTCGCACGCTACGGAGTTAATTAACCGAATGATAATCGATGTCACGAGTCTGGTACATACAAAATAAAATTCTAGCAATTATTGTTTCATTTCGGTAAGTACTTCTTAGTATATTCTTGTAAGTTAGGGGACAATAGCAAATGTAAATGTAATTCCAACATGAAATCTAGGGAAATCGTGATACACTGGTTCTACTAAAATTACTCCCATTAAAATGATACGAGAATTAAGAGTATTTTATTTATTACGTACCAGATGAAAATTCGCCATTCTACTGGCTCTTATTAGTTTCTCGTAGCAACTCTTTACTTAAGTCAAGATATCTTGTTATAAGCACATTAAAGTTAGAAATTTTAACGAGGGACCACTGTATTTTAAAGTACATAATCTAGTGCTTTAATGTCTGAAGGTACCGAGACGTTCAGGTGCACTTTTTTTGCAAATTGTAAATAATTCCGGCTATTTACAATATTCTGACGATCGTTCGTTAAGAATGCTTCGAGACTCGTTACCGATCTCGAATGATACCGATGCAAACTACTTGTATAAGCTCGCCCGTTGCTATTTACAAATCTCGGGACTCGATTATTAAATGGTTCAAGCTGCACCATATCTGAAATGGTAAACGCGGAACGATTGCGATCGATTACGATATAACGTTTAAAGTAGAAACCCTGGAAAATCGAGGCCTATCCGAGTATACTCTTTCAATTGCGATTTTTTATACAATAACAATTGTCATCGAAGCTGACACGTGTACCGAGTGTATTACGAAGATTCGATAATGCTTATAACCGACAACCACTGTGAATTTTTTCTATCCTCTTTCCTCTTTTCCTTTCCGACAGTGTCTCCCTCCGCGACGGAAATAATTGACAGTGACTTAGCGAACGTTCCCTAAAGTAGCTTCATCGATAGAAGATTATTAAAAAAACGGTCATCCGCGTGATTCTATACATAAACATTTGATATATCTTTGAACCCGACGGGCGTGTCGCATGCGTACCAAAAAAATGGTACTTTTATTCTCCTTCGAACGTCTATCGATCATTGATTATTCGATTTTGCAAACCGTGAACATCCGTTTTAGGTAACTGAGCGATGCTCCAACCTCGAGAGAGAACATCCGGCCATTTCTCCGATCCGTTACCATTATTCTGTACACGTTCGATGAACGATAATTCCTACTGTCAGCGAGATTATTAATAGTTCTTAATAATTACTCTATCTACGGGGTATCTGTAAAAGAATATCAGCGATGATTTGTCTCAGCGTCGAAACCAGTGCCATTTTTGCCGTTCCGATGTTCGATGTTCTCTCTCGGGCAAGAGCAGGTTGAAATGGAAACTCGAGAACGATGAATCGTGTCTTTTTTTTTCGGGGTCGATCTCGTTATGTCGATTAGTGAGCGTTGTCCAATGTGCCCTCTGGATGATAGTAGACTGAGTACCTTGCTGGAACGACGAGCGCTTCCAATTCGGCGGTCAGGTGCCGTCTGATCATGTGTTTCGCTGGCGGTATACCCAAAGCGGTGGCCATCGTGTCGCCGGTGAAGGATGGCTCCAGCACGACCAGGGCACCGTGCACACCCGAATCTAATTTTCGTGGTAATTAGTCTCTCCTGTCGTCTTAAGTGACTCATGTTTCCAGTACGCTTTGTTTATAAAAATGGCCATTCGTTTACGAGAATCACCTTGATATTAGAAGGTTGTCTTAAAGAAAATGACTTTTTGGAACTTATGGTAAAAGATAATTAACACAGTAATTGTGGTGAAACAGTAAAGAGTAATGGTAATTCTTGTTAATTAGTTTATAGACAGAGCATACTGTACAGGAGACTTTAGTTGATATTCTTCAGATTATGATGATCTGATAAAGTTTATATAAATAAAGAATATATTTGGAATATATTAAGAATGTATGATAAAAAATTGATCGGGGTGATCTCACTGGATAACTATATAGAATCATTCGTCTCCCATCGCAAGTTCAATAGTTGACTATCAAACGTACCTTTCAAGTTTTCAGCGTATTCAGTTAGATCGATATTCCTCGCCCACCGGATGAACCTCTGATTCGTCCAAACCAGGGGATCCGTGTCTACCTGCTCGCACTGATGTCTCCTGACTGCTAATGCCTATTGGGGAACACGATGAACAGTGGTCCTTTGAGCGATACCGTTATCAAAATTACACTGAATAAAAGAAGCACTCTACACACTGATTCGTTAAACATTACTCTGTATCCTACAAGTTTCACTTGCATTATTTTTTATTAATTTTCTCGTGATCATAAATATCAGATATTATAGCAGATATCTATATTAAAAAGTAAAGAAAACGGAAAATATATCTCATAAATATAAAATAAAAATGTTTGATCCGACATTCGAAAAACTGATTCTAACATTTATGATCATTAAATATTTTTCTAATTCTTATTAACTAACTATAAAAGCAAAAAATGAACAAATCTGACGTTCCAAAACCTTTCTTATCATTTTGCATATTTATCTTATTGAACACGTTGAACGCCGCACGATTTCACAGAACAAAGTACGCAAAATGGGAACGATATAATATCAAAACATTTGATCGAATTGAATTATTATTATTGCACGTTCACCTAGCTGAATGTGCATTAAGTAATATTATTTATAATACAGAATTGTTTTCAAACAATCGTCGTTTAATCGAGTGAACTATAGTAATTCAACGTGTTAATATCGATATCATATTGTCATCACATTTAATACATTCATCGTGAAATAGGATAGTGTGCAAATACTTTTCCCATTCGTTGCAACAAGATTCTTGTTACCTGTCGATCGTAGTTCAACATTCGCAACAAATGAATGCCGTGCACGATGCTCGCCTGATGAAACTTCCTAGTCACACCGAGAAGCTTCTCGAGCTCCTTTTTGCTGAGATGATCGAGCATCCGTGCGTCCACCATATTGGTGGCGAAGCTCTCGGAATATTGTGCGAGTCCGAGGTCTGGCAACCACTCGGAGCTGACCCATGTGTGACCTAGTTGAGCAATGCACGGATATCGAACTAGACTCGGATGCCGGTGCTCCTCGATAGCTAAACGTAATTTCTTTCTGTGAAGGGGGTGCGTCACCCCCAATCCCGCCTCCAATTCTGCGTCGCTTAGCTCCAGCAAAACCTAAACAGTTTTTAATGATTTTAAGAGACCTAGGCTTTTCCTCCAAACTTTTAGTAAATCTCTGAATTAAGGACAACGTTAAACATTTTACGTACTGTGCGTTGCTACAATGAAACACATTCCTGCAAACGATATTTCCGAGAATAAATCACTATTATAATGACTCTTACGGTGCAGCGAAATCTAGTTTAAAATGATTTTAATAAGTCTAGATTTTTTAGGTTTTCATGAATTGCTATTTTCAGGACGCGTTCCTGTGCACCGTAGTTTAAGAATAAATTACTATTATGGTTCCGGAGGTACTTCTAAGATGATGTTTGTGGGTAATAATAATAATCGACGAGGATTTGAACTATTGTCTAATATTGTGATGTTTGAAAGAGGATTTAAACTATCGGTTCAGAGGTATTATAGTAATTCCACAAATTGTTATTGGCATATAGATATGGCTCTGCTATTGGAGGGTTCAGGTTGTTTGTCAAGAGGTATTACCGCAGCAAGCTAATAGCTAAAATTACCAGAACATTGATATCAATTTATCACTGATCTATTTCAGTGGGGATTCGGATTATCGCTACCCGATACGAGCTCGTCCTCAATGAATTAAAACATTCCCCAATCTTTAAAAAAATAGGATTTAATAATATCAAAAAATGTGAAACCTCAATAAGTAACTTACATTACTTTCTCAAATTCAATATTCATCAGTAGAAGAAACCCAAGAATATTTATATTTCGATCTATTTTTATGTAAAGTTCATAGAATTCTTATACAATACTAAAGACACGTTAGACTTTCTTTATTACTAATAACATCAAGAAGAAACTTCTTGCAAGTGCCTGAAGAAGCGATATATCGATACATCATTAGCTCAAAGGGCTAATATTAGAGTCTATGTGGAGCACATAATAAGATGTCCCGATGTGAATGTGTTAACCCCTTCACCTATAATACCGTGTCACACTCGTGATGAAACTTTCAAACTGAATCTGAGAAATCTAAGTGTTACTTACATTCTTTAAATATAAATTAAATATTACTTTCCTATCATTCATCATTACCTTTTAAAGTAAATGTAGACATAGAATAAGCATAAGTAGTTGCACCGATAATAGCAAAAAATAAATTATACAACCAAAAAATGAAACAAACATAATATTAAATTACTCAATTGAATCGCATTATCATTACCGCACATTTTCTTGCCAAATGCCACCAAGTTAGCATTATTTATAATACACAAATGTTTCCAAATAATCATTGTTCAATCACGCGTATTACAGTACTCTAATTTAATTTGAAATCACCAGTGACCTATCGCTCAACGTGTGAAACAACTTTCCTCCTCCCTTAAAAAATCTGAAACGATCACTGTAAGTGGGTTTCATCTTTCGTTCGTTTCACGAATTTACCTTTCCAGATTTCACATTTTCAGCGCACCGAGGGCCGTACTGCGGCATGCCGAGCGCAACTTCTAACCATGCCAACACCGTCGGTGCCCTCCATCGTTCCATAGGCACGGATGCGGCTTCTCTAAGTAAACGAAGTTTCTCGGCGTAACCTTCCTCGGTAAGAGGTGACCATGATCTATATGGATCGAAGCCGTCGGAGCCCTCGTTGCTTTCACTACCACCGCTCGAGTTGTTTGTAGCCTTTCGATGTCGCGCACGAGCGAACACTCTGAAACCCCGACCGAGGATACGGTTTTAATACTAAAAGGACATTAACTCTTTGTGGTGGATTCACGGAGGAATAAATTGAAAATTGTAGGGAAGTTCGTTTCTCTTCACTTCGTCTTTGAAATGAGTAAGTTTAAATAGCAACCGAGCATCTGTAATGACGAGTACGGCTTCTTTGGAATTAGAACTATCGACAAATTTGAAAGGACTAATTGAGGAATTATTAAATGAATCTCTTGGAGCAAATATAATGATAAAAATGGCGACAGATCAGAAAATTGATTCTTATGATTCGTTTACAAAATTAATACTTAGAAAAGGTTAAGCCTGTGTTACGTTTACTCTATATTGTAACTTTCTTTCTTTTTATACACTAATAGTTGTTTATTAAGTGATCAGTAGATAATAAGAATTGATTTAGTTGAACTTTTATGTGCAAAAGTACATCTTCACAGGTGTTGAACTTGGAAAGTAGTAAGAAAAGGTAGAATAGTGATTGTGATAGAAACGTTTGCATAAATTGAACATTATTGTGCGCTCGTAATGGCGGTCCCCACCTGGAAATAGAACCCCACGTGCCTCCTCGGGTTGCAGAAGAACGCGAATGCGCGGCAGGTGCCGCCATAGGTGTGTTTTGTTTGCTTCTCCTCGGTTCGGATTCCAACGGGCTCGACAGCTGTTCCACCGATCGCGATAACGATGAATTGTCCATAGACCTAGAGAACGCGTTCAGGGGTGACAACGTGGGGCTGCAGTCCTTCGGCGTGGTCGCTGCTGAAATGAAACACAAACGAAATCATAAGTTTATTTATTAAGATTTATTGGTTTGTTTAATTTTAATAAATTTAATCGGTACATATCTTAATATTAAGAATATTAATATTAATACGTTGACTGCTACGGTGGTCAGCAATGACCGGAGCTTCTAAATTGCTGGGGAACAATTACAATAGAAAACTTGATTTTAAATAAAAATATTTAGTAACATAAGTAGTTAAATAGCGTAATGTGATTACTGTGATACTAAACCATTGGTAATTATTTTTAATATCATTTACTTTTGTTATTAAAGAATAAGTGTTATTATTTACAACGCTAGAAATTCTCGTGGCAGTCAGCGTGTTAATAATACAAATTTCATTAGTTTTTATGTATATATATAAATTAATGAAATTTTTGGTATTAATATTTATTCTCTTATATGATTAATATTAAGGTCATGAATTATAATCAGCTCGATGAATTGATCACTGTATATTTTTGTTATTTCCTATTCGTATGTAATAAACATCTGCATACTTGATAAAGCATTAAAGTTGCATTATTGCAATGTCGACGGTGAAATACCTTCCCTTCCAATTCAAAATTAGTGTCTTTCTAAGTGAATAGCAATTTTCTACGCTGACATTCCATCTACGTCTGACGAGTTGCAATTTACAAAAAACAATATTTGAGTAACATATTTTATAAAAAAAAGAAGTAGAATTTTGCTTATAAAAGTTATACAAGATTAAAGAGTAATATTATTCCACTATTGTTTCTTTCTTACATATTATATAAGTGCTAGTACTATGTTTGTTACTGTATCATAATATTAATAAATACTTATTTTTTACTATAATCCCAAAACAATAATTCCATTCCCAAAATTGCCTCAACCCTTTGCACGATTTAATCATGAAAAATTGTGCACGAAAGAACCATCTTACATTTCTTAAAGAAACCAACCTGGTTCATCTTATGATCCATACATTTTCCATAATTAAAAGAATATCAACTAAAAGTAATCCAACAAGGTGTCCTAGCAACAACCATTACGCCAATTTCTTCTCAATTAGAAACTACACAAAATTTGTGCATGTGAAAACATGTTATCTGCAGCTTTAGTCGCATGACGAGTGTAGCTCATTATAAGGTTCGACATGAAAAACTAATCGCAAGCTAGCCTCGTCATTTGACCGCTGAACGGTTAATCCGTATATTTTCAAAACACACTGAACACCATGGCGATGTTAAACATTTCTATCTCGGGATACGTGCATGCGCATGCATCGGCGGTGCAACGGGCAATTAGCCGATTGTTCGAACGAAGCCACCAGCACAACGATGCCACGCGACAGATAGGTATCCGCTGTTCGTCCGACAGCGAGCAGGTGAATAAATTAATAATAAACGACAGGGAACGACGATTCCTAGGATCGATGCCTCCCCGCCGCTCCGTCTTTATTCCGGATCGCCCAATTAAGGGAACAATGCCAGCCGCCAGAGAGACGCGATTACTCGATGAAAACGCGGAACAATAAATATTATCGTAACCGCCCAGAGTGTACTTAATGAAACGTTTTACGGCGGACATTATCGATCACGCGAATGATAATCCGATGGATTCCGTTTCAACCCTTGGACTGCGGTGCTCGGGTCTACGTTGACCCGTAGTTTCAAGGATATCGTTTGGTCTTTTAGATTTTTATAGTAGACGTAGGGTATTGTTTGATTACATGCGTTTCAATTATATTTTAATTGCTACGTATTTTAGTAATTATTGCTTTAATTGTTTGTAATATTTTTGATAAAATTAGTATTATATTAAATTACAGTTAAATTTAAAATATCTCATTTAGTTTTTCTGATTTCTGTAGGTGATTTAGAATATGTGTTTGAACATGTGAATTTTAATTATATTTTAATCATTGCGTGTTTTTGTTACTATACCGATTATTCGTAATATTGTAATTTTATCAAGCGTAAGTGCAATTCTAGAGATTCCCTAATTTAAACTACGTTTAAATTAACACTGAAGCATCTCATTAGAATCAAGATATCCCATAGAAGTATGTTTGAAAAAATGTTGAGAAAAATTGGTGGGTAAATATTAGAGTGGTCCCAGGCTTGGTCACATTTAAAGCCACCAAAAAGTCAATGCTCACGTTTCCAGTTCAATTTGATGGAACTTAATGATATTTATTACACGCGAATCAAAGTGAAAGGCTATTTTTCCACCGGCGATGTTTCACCCTCAAAGTAACCGTGTCTTTTGCAACAAACAGAAAATTCCCCCTCGTTCTCGTGAATTATTAATAGTAAAGCGAATCAGACGAGTACGGTCGCAAAGAAAATCGCGCGGCAAGGGGTTAAGGGGGGGGGACTGCAAATGCATGGTTACGAATGCATCCGCGAGGAGAATTCGTTGACAGAAAAATAGATCTGCATGAAGTGTCCTAACCCAGACGGAGAGAGACAGACAGAAAAGGAAAGACAGAAAGATACACAGAAGCGCGAGGAGTCCACCGGAAGCGGAGCACGCCGATGGAGAAACGGGAGGAAGCGACGATTGCCGAGTGAAATGGCGAAGAAAGATGGAGAGGACAGACAGAAAAAGAAAAACGGATGGACGGTGGAAAAAGGGAGGAGGACAGACGGATGGAAAGAGGGAACGAGATAGGGATTGCGGAGGAACGTTCAGTTATGACGAAAGTTGGGGATTTTTAAGTGAAATGATATAAAAGTTAAAGTGAAACGAATTTATTGCTGCGTTGTGTGGAGAACACTTTGATGCAATTTTGTTAGATTTTATTATTGTTTGTTGTAACTTATTATGTTTAATATATTTTATATTATATTTTAAATTTTATTTATGTTTTATATACTATATGTTTTATATACTATATTTTATAGTATACTTTATATAAAATTTTATATTTTACACAATAAAACGTTAGAATGTTCATTGCAATGCAATTTCAATTCCAACTTAATCACAATGAATTATTATCACAAGATTCTAATTGAATTTCAAAAACGCGATTTCAAGTTTCAATTTCAATTAGGACAAACACGAAATAATCATGATACATCTACGTTTCATCTAATAATTCAAACAACAAGATCGTTTCTCCATAATCCGTAGAAGGAAATTGTTTCTCCCAAAGTGAAAAGAAACTAAACGTTACAAAACCATGAAACCGATCAGCAACTTCTAACGCAACACCAACCCTTTCTAATAAGCCAGCTATTAGCCACTTCCATCTGTCACACACATTTATATCAATACAAACATTCCATTCGCGTTCCGCTTCGCCAAACACCCCGCGAATCTATAATCGCCGTAACCGTAATCCGCGCGGCGCGGATTTATATTCAATTATTCGCGATTTCTTCGAGATCCTCGAGAAACATCGTCCGCTCGAGTATCTCATGAATCAATAATTCCGCTAAGTACCATGGGAAATCCTCCCGAGATGGTGGATAAAAACGATGAAACGAAATGGGAGTATGACCGTCGGGTGAAACAGAAACTAGAGGCGAGGTGGAGCACAGCCAGACAAGAAAGAAAGACGAGAGACAGGAGGGAAGGACGGCCAGCGAAAAGAAAAAGTAACGAGGGCACAGAGAACAGCCAGACAGACAGAGAGACAGGCACACAAGAAAAGCAACGTGGAATCCTCTGGATAATGGAGTACGACGATGAAGAAACGGATGGAGACGACGATCAGCGATTATGTTTGGACACTTACACTGGTATATGTGGGATGGTGCAATGGAGGAAACCACGGAGATGCTGTCCATGTCGAGACCGCTTCCCTCGACCGTAATTGTCGGCGTGCCTGCGCCGAAAGTGTACAACGTATAGCGAAAAAAAAGAGGAAAAAAAAAAGAAATGAGGTTTTTTTTTCAGCGATCCGAGTGCTAGTATAATTTGTCTTTTGTTTGAGCGGGGAGCTTTAATGGGGAAAAAGGGACGTTTCGTGGTTGAACGCGTTTGGTTGGAGCTTTTTTCGTTTCAGCAACATCTCGACGATGGGATCTGTGAACTCGCGTTGGTTCTCGGGGAAGTGCAGAGTTTCGGGACGCGAAGTGTCTAAAAGGAATCTGGATTCTTTATGTTATAGTTTGATATTCTTGGGTTTTTTGAATACTAAAGTTCCTGTGTGGAATCTTATACCGTTAGATACGGATGAAATAGTGATTGATAAGATAATAAGTGAATCGATTGGTGAATAAGAGATTATATCTTTGAACAATGGTGTATTTATTTTTGTTTGAGCAGTTGATTGATGGATCAAATTTTACTATCTTCAGTTTGCTACTGTGCTTTATTACTCTGTGCTTTGTTATTGTTTGTTTTATTTTTCTATATTTTAATAGTCTATGTTTTAATATTCCATATGTTGATACTTTATATTTTATTACTCTATACTTTAACACGTTGAACGCCGTACGGCTTCATAGAGCAAAATACACAAAATGGAAAAAATACAACATTAAATCACTTCACTGAATTGGATTATTATCATTGCACGTTCACCAAACTGAATGTCACCGCAATGGGTAGCATTATATATAATACAGAAATGTCTGCGAATAATTATCGTTTAATTGAGCGAATTATAGTAATTCGATTTGCTTGGGGGTAACCGGTGACCCCATGGCATTCAACGCGTTAATACTGTATATCTTATTATTATATATTTTAATGCTCTATACTTTAATACTCTACATTTTAATATTGCAAATTTTAATACTCTATATTTTATTACTCTATACTTTAATACTCTAATATTATAATACTATACCTTAATATTCCAAATTTTAATACTCTATACTTCAATACTCTACACCCTATTATTCTACACTTTGATACATCTTCTTTCTCAGTATTCCAATATCCTATATTTTACTACCATCTACATTTTATTCACCAGCTCAAAATGTTTGCCACTGAAAGGGAACTCCTTATCTCAGAAACGATATTATTCCCTCCATTGTCGATGGGACATTATGCTCTTTTACGGCGTGTTCAACTGAAAATTCACGCACCCGATTTCTATCTGTCACGTGGTGTGTTTGTCCTAGACGAAATCGATCAATCCGTTTTAATGCACGGACACGGTGAGTCCCGGGCTGAATAATACATGAAGGAAGTGCGCTCGATTAGTCCGCCACCTACGTTCGGCTAACATTCGTGGTTGACGGAGCTATCAGACTGTGTACTCTCCTTTCTTTCTTTTTCCTTTCTTTCTCTCCCAACGACGCGTCGGCCCCGACGGATGCACCGTAATGCACTTTAACTAGGCGATTAATCTTGGCGCTGGCCGCATCTAAGCGCAGGGATCGTTGGCGTTCCGAACGGCCGCCGTTCGAATGAATAATACCGGCGATTAGTGTTACGCGTGATTCGACTTCGTTCGACTATTGACTCTCGGATTCCTTTTCTCTCACTATTTCGAATTGCGTATTGATTAAATCAAGTGCATCTGAGATCTACTGATTTGACGTAACGCGAAGTAATTATTTCTACACTGAAATGGTGGAAACAATCGATTTTCAAGGAGCTGATTTTTTAAAAATTCTGTTCAAATATTATTAAAGTTACAGGATACGATTTTATAGTTTTATGAGTACAATATACAATTGCAATGGCACGTGTAACGTCAGACATTATTGTCTATAGAAATGTTTTTTAATCAATTATTTACTATTGATTCATGCTGTATCTAATTCAAATATTCATTTAGCTTTTAATGGAGTAAATCTAGGATAATTTATCCGATTAATCCATATAAATGATGCATCATTCTGTTTCTTATCAATACATATACATTCATATTGCTCGAGGAATTGATTGTTTTCCTGTTCATTTATCAAGAGTTCAAGTAATTGGCATTTCAATTTCGTTATTAGCATAAAACGAATTGTGCTTACCATCGGTGGTAGAGTCCGAAAGGTTTCCACCCACGCTGGTGGCACCTCCGCTCTCTCTGTCGCTGGATCCCCGTACGCCGCTGTCCGCGCTGCAACTTCCGCGATCGCCCGCCTGTCCACCGGAAGAGCCTGCACCTGCCGCATTGCCGACGTTCCCAACAGTCACTCCTAGTTCTGTGCTGCCTAATGGCGGTTGAGAATTCATATGAGGGATGATACCACAGCCACCGCCGCCGCTGCTGCTTCCGGCGCCCGGTGTCGCCGCCCCATTCACGCTGCCCCTCGGGAACGAGACCAAGGACTCCTGGTCGCTCAAGCAGATACCGCCGCCGCCGCCCCTTTCCGCCAATTGACGCTGCAACTGTTAACAGGAACAGTTTTCCGTTTACCGGAGGTTCAGAGTATTTTTCGGTATATATTTTATTCATGGGAACAGGTGTGCTTGTTATCGGTAACTTTTGAAATTGTTTTTATGCGTTGAATGGATCTTTTTTTTGTTTGGATTGTTTTGGGACTTGGAATTTGGAGATTGGAACATAGAACTTGGAACGTAAAATTTAAAATTTGGAACTTGGAACTTGGAACTTAGAACTCAGAATTTAGAATTTAGAATTTGGAGCTGAGAATTTAGAACTTGGAACGTGGGGCCCAGAATTTAAAATGAATTCTGAACATTGAACTTTGAATTTAGCGTATAATTTGATGATAAAGTTATATAATAAATGACCTCGCAAAGAATAATCTCTCAACTTAATCTTCTTCCTCCTCCACAATAAAAATTTAAACACTATTAAAAACAACGCCAATATTACAGAAGAAAAAACAACTTCCTCAATAATACAAAGAAACATACAATAAAATAAATTCCCCACAGGTACAGTTTTCCAATACACGGCTTACCGCTGTAAGCGCTGAATTCTCCACCCCCAAAAAAACCAGACCAAAAAATCCCCGTTCGCGCGATTTCATTCAAAATTGATTTTCCCAGATTAAATAAATAATTCATCGGGGTATCACTAGGACACTCATGTCCCCGCGACGCATATACATTACGAATGCATAGAATCCGCGCTCTATTTCCTATTCATTCGCCGGCGTTCGCGTGATAGTTTTATTAAAGGCAGGAACCCGCGGGAACGTTCGCGAGCCGCTTATATTTAACACTAGAACCACCGTACCAGTCAAAATTCGGTTTCAATTTCGTTATTTCGCAATTACTGATATCTTAATACATTGTCGACTGGTCACGAGTTAACTCGTGTTTGCACTTCCATGAACTACTTCCATTTTTCAAACCCAGGGCAATGTAAAATATATTGAAAAAGCAAAATATTGAAAGTTACATAAAAGGTATGTCTAAAGTTTCATTTCAATTGATTACATATAAATAAAGTATACTGAAATTTAGACTACTTTACTTTCATGTTTAATCACTAATTTCATTACCAATAATAATATTTAATTAAAACTTCCCGTCAACAATGTGTTAAAAGTATCGAATGTTGGAAATGATTTTGAAAATAAGTAGTGTCACTCGAATATAACGAATGCCAGAAGAAACTGAAAATAATGTATTATTACAATTTTTATAGTAATTACCTCTCAATCATTAAACGTTCGGTAGTTCTAGCGATAACACTATTTCTGCCGAGGGTGTCGAAAGATTTCAAAATTTTACCTTACAATTATTTTCTAAGTTCACTCGTATATTCTGAATTGCCCTGCGATTGGTCCAATACCGATTATAAAATTACCTACTCCCAAAAACTAAATTGAGGGAAACTGACGAACCTGTCAGAATACCAAGTTGATATTTCAAAAGGTGTCTTTTGATACCTTCGGTAGAAATAGTGTTAACGAAAGTAGCGTGTGCTGCGTGAGATCCGAAACAGTGAAACGGAAATTTTCGGGTCGTGCGTGACTGTTGAGCACACTCCGAGGCGACCAACCGTCAGTTTTAAACTAGTTAGCCGGAGCCGACCGTTTAAGAGGACAATTTGAGGGCTCAAAGGTGGCCTCACCCTTCGCGTAATTGCGTGCGCGCGTGAAAGAAACGCTTCTTACCTAACCGCTCGTAATAATGCTGCGCGACGATCGATCGATCGATCGATCCCCGATACTTCGTGCGACACACCTCCAAACCAACCTCGACTGACCCGCGAGTGGTTCTACCTATAAAAGAACTTTACGACGGCGTTCCTTAAGTAACGGAATTATACGCTGGGCGCTCGCAGGACACTCAATTTAAATGAATCCCTCGGCCGACCGGCCATTTCGCTCGATAATTATTCGAAACTTTATCGCCCCGCGACTCGAAATCGCTCCTTCTTTTAAATACCTTTAACGTACTGCTCGCGCTTCACGTGATTAATGAAGAACGTTTATGGAGGAGTTTTATGGTTTCGAGAGGTTTGAAGGGCGTGGACGTCAGTGAGAGATTCTGATTGGAATACAGTTTTTAGATTGAAATACTTCTCGCTGTGGTATGTGGGCATTTACTTTTTTGACATTTTGTTTTCTAATTATTTGTAATTTAATGATTTTACTGCTTGTGATTGTTGATAATAAGCTTGGAATGGTTCAACTGTTGTGTCAGTTTGGTGAAGTACCAGTGGAAGTTTGAGGTAGAAGTCAATAATTATATAATACTAATGGAATTAATATTAATATTATATTTAATAATACGTTGACAAGATTAATTTTATAGAAATATTACAGAATGTTCATATCAAGTTTATATTCATTTACTTAACATTTCTAGAATGCTTATAAAAGATATTAAAAGCAATAAACTTCATCAAGGTTCACAAGTAAACAGTTACGATTAGAACTAAAAATATTTTTATTTTCTAAGATCGATTCGAAACGTCGTTCTCTGATAATACGAATTTGCATTCTTTTGTCGTTGCAAGGAGGGCTGGGAAAACGATCCGAACAATTTAATGAAACTCTTCAACGCGAGAAAAAAAAGTGAATTTCGAAGTAGATCTGAAGAAACTTTACCAGCATATTCCCAGCAGCATTTAATTCCAGCGAAACTTGGTCGCGTAACAATTTCATCGTTAAAACCTTGGAGACCAAACTTCAAGCGGCGAAGCTGTCTTCGCTAAAAGCAGAGTCAACGCGTCGCGTAAATAATTCAGGAAGTTTTGCATTCGCTGCATCTACGCGTAGAAAATATCTCCCCTCCCCCTTTGAGATTCTACTTTTCTGTTATTCTTTGCGGAACACTCGAAAGTGACAGACGCAACTGGATTAAATTGATCAAATTAATTTTCCGCGCGGTAGTAACGCGTTCTCTACGGTTGTTTACTTATCGATTCGCTTTGACGCTTTAGCTTACAATAGGAAACCTCATTAAAAATCGCCCAAACGGCGATAATTAATTTGCTTCTCAACGAGAATCCGCAAGAAACGTTGACGAATGTAATCCAAGTAACACAGTGTCAATATTTTTGAAACGTTTCTTGCAATTTTAATCTGCGACAAAATGCTTGTAAGAGTTATTTATTTTTCAGTAATGAAAATAAGTATCAATTTATTAAAGCAGCATATTAGAAATTAATAAGAATATTACGTAAACTTTTCTCTAAGCAAAACGTGAAACATCAATAGAAATTTCTTATCCCTTCAAACCCTGTTTTGAGGGTGTGTTTATCTTTTGCCAGTTGAACTTGGACGTTACCAGAAATACAAATATTATACATTTTTTACTTCAGTGAAAGATCAATTATTAAAACTCAAAGAATCTACTGAATAATTTGAAAAAATACTGAATCTCTTTGGCCTCCTTCACCTGATTTCACGACCCCAGACTTCATTTTATAAGTCTACTTGCAAGAACAGATTTACGTAAATAAACCTCGAGCAATTCAAGAACTTAAGGAGAACATTCAACTCGGAATCCGACGTTTAGAACCTCAAACCTTGCGTAAGGTCACGAAAAATGCTGTGAAAAGAGCCCGTATTCCTGAGCAGAAAAATGATCATTTGAGGGATGTTGTTTTCCACACACAATACTAAAAAATATCCATTAACTATATTCCCCAAAAAATAAAACATTAAACGAACACCTGTTTGTAAACGTTATTTTTATTTTATATCGTTCAGTATCTCAGTAGCCACACTGTACTAACACTGAAACTACCAGACGGGTAAAAATCACCCATTCCTGATTGCTTCTGTTTGCACTGATTAAAAAGATAACAGACGTTTCTCTAAGAGTCGATCAAAGAAATTGATTCAACAATACGCAAACTGAATTATAAATCAAAGTCTTAATACACGCACTCTTGAGGTTCCTACAGAGAAATTTCAAGGATTCAATGCAACTGCTTTTAGTGTTAAAAGAAAAGAGTTAAAAAAACTGTAACAGTGGTATGACATCTCTCGCGAGCACACGCTCCGTTTCAACCCCGAACAGTTGTTGATGAATGGCAGCTAAGTTGAAAGGGATTCTTACCTCTTTTATAGTGGCGTGTGCATGCGAGAGGGCGGCCTCTTTGTCGGCCAAACTAGCCGCGAGGCTGAGGCTTCGATCGGCTTCGTCCCTCGCAGCCCTCAGCAGACTCCAGCGTTCCCGTTCCCTCTCGCGTTCCCGTTCCTCCGAAGGTATGCCGACTCCTTGCTGCTGAAGGCGTCCTAAGGTCGCCTCGTTCTCCCGCATCCGCTGCAATCAACGGTCAAAGAGACCCATATCCGGGCAGTAACTCCACCCAAAACCACCACCATCTAACAATGCATGCATGCGAGCGACCGTACTCCGACAATGAGTGCGAACTACTTGCTCGAAACAAAGCGGCCGGAATGATTAACGTGTCGACTGGCCTGACTTTCCGCGACATCTTTCTATACGATGACAGTACCACTACTTTTCTGGTTCTGCGATGACAACGATGCTCTGACCCTTGTATCTGTGATTTCCTTCGTAGCTATTCCGGGTAGAATTACATTTGATATTAACACTATTTCTATCGAAGAAAAGACAGCTTTTCGAATTCTAACTTAACACGTTGACTGCGACGAAAGCGTCAGCGTTTTATGTATTATCTCTGTAGCAAAGATAAACAGGAAGACTTACTAATTATTTCCTATCTTTCCTATCTTAATTCTTACGTTACACCATTATCTAGTTACTCACGCTACTGAGCATTTTGACTTGACATCAGTTCTCTTACGAGATATGATTATCTTGTAATTTGGAAACTCCGGTCATCGGTGACCGCCGTGGCAGTCGTGTTAAAATTATGTACTCGGTTTAATCTGTTTTTATCAATTGAATCTTAGATGTTTCCTATAGTTAATTTTGTAATCGTGGAAGAATCGAAAAGTCAATTTAGAATGTATGAGTAAACTTGGAAAATAGCTTTAAGTTAAAATTTCAAAAGTTGCCTTCGGTAGAAACAGTGTTAACAGTATTAACTTATGGTTTATTTGTCAGCTGTGATCGATGCATTATTTTGTTATTGATAATTTATTGACAAATTAATGGTTAATTTCAGTTTGAAAGGTGAAATTCAGTTTTGCTGAAGTTTCGTTTGTGATTCTCACAAGTATGATACGATACTGCAAGGGATCGATCCTCTTGGGAAACATTGTATTTTTGATCATTAAGTATCAAAGATTTTGTTACGGAAAACATAAGCAACTTTATATTATCCTTTGTGTATTGCTTGAGATAAGAAATGTATCTTCTACGTGCATCAATATTCTATATTACATCTTTCATGACACATTGTTCTTAATTCCAAAATAAAATTCAAGGGTTTCTCCTTCGAAGACACTTCCCGTGCAAATTTATAAATTACTATACGAATGGAAATAAGAAACAAAGCTTCCTCGGAAGCTTCTCGTTCTCGAAAAAAGCATACTTCGAAAATTACCTCCACAATGAAATTACCAATGTTATTTCCCTACGATAAAACGAGTCGTTTCACGTGCGCATTCGAAAGCGACGAATCAGCAGACGCGGAAACCTAAAACGTATGGGAAACAGAGATTCGCAAGCTGTTGCAGCGATTGAATTCTCGACCGATCCCAGCGAATTCTTCGCGGCATCGTTGCCACTCGATCGGCCATGAAACCCGATACAGGTGCGCGACCCCAGTTTATTTACAGGTGTCATGTACCCTTCGTTTATTAGCCAACAGGATATCAGCTACGGAGAACTTAATCCACTTATCTTTCCCTCGGGCGTAAGTTACTTCACGCTACGTAGAACAGGTGCTGCAGCTGGTTTATCGGCTAAACTTCGGGACAACGCGATTACTGCCACTCCGGCGGATCGGTCAGGTGTTACCCGTGTCGGCGAACCGGCATGTTTTCGGGGGTTAAAAACTGTCGAGCGCGGCGCGCCCCGCCGGTCGACCGGAAAATCGCGTCCGTTCGCGCGGAAACGCGTGAATAAATTACACGCGCAATATTTTGCGCGGGTAATTGCAACAAAAACAACCGTGGTAAATTAAGCGAACCGCATTTCGTCGAATTCGTTTGCGAATCGTTTGATTTCAGGAGTGTGGAAGTGTATGTATCACGAAAGAGGGAATTCGAGATTGGGAGAAAGCACTTTGTTAATTGGGAAAGAAGTGAAACGGTATGTAATTAAATGTAATATTATAATAAATATACAGTGAGTCACGAGAGTATTCGTATCTCTTGATCTGCTGGATTTAAAGGATTGTTATTTGTGCACAATGCAGGTTTCAAAGTTGTTATCAATAGCAATATATGTTGGGATTATGAAGTTTTCAAACTTATGTGCACTTTATTGCAAAACATGTCAATACTACACAAATGTTAGTTTACATAAACAGGAATGGAATTAGTCTCACTAGCCTGATGATTTAGATCGTCTCAGTATTATAAAATGCAAAGAAGGCCCAATCAAATATTAGTTACTGATACATTAATTGCCTTGTATACGAATACTCTCGTGAGATCAATTTTGTTCCAATTTACGTAAAATTAAATTCCTTGTGATACTGAGATATTGTTTTCCAATAAAGGTCATTCAAGTTCGAAAGCTTCGTGATGCCAACATAATTTATCAACTCGATTTTCCTGAGAAACGAACTTCAGCTACGTCCAAAACGGCTCAAATATCAATCGTTTAAATTCGACAGTTCAGCAGGCAAGAATACTCTCGTGACTCACTGTATGTATCATACAACACATACTAATGTTAATGCAAATATTTTCTCGTATCTTGTTTTCCTTGTTCTCTATTGGCGTTCGAGAACAGGCAGGTCTTTCGCTGCAGCCCGTACAATCCACGGCAACAAAATTCGTCTACGAGTCCAGGGATTTATTTAACCCGTGTTTCATATTTCGCGTACGATATCCTTCCGCGTAGGATGTTAGCGAAACATCAAACACGAGCGAGATTCGCGGGGAGGCGTACTCGCACAGCAATGCACGTTTACGATGTCAAACAACGGAAGAGCCAGGATACGGGAGATCGACGAGATTGCCTGCGTGTTTCTGTTTGAACAGCGGCTTCGTAGGTTCGGGGTGGTTGCCGTGGGGGAGGGAGGGAGGAGGACGAAGGAGAAGGGTTGGAGTGCGGATGTTAAGCCGGCCAGGATAAAAAATCGCAGAGGACCACGGTTCTTTCTCCGCGGAGCGCAACACGGCGACACGTCGGCCGTTCGCCGAGTGATGAAGTGGATTACGCGCGATCCGACAAGACGGAAGAGCATAAAGCAAAGGGGAAATCGACGTGCCCCCGCGGAAGAGAAATTGCCGTTAAGACCTCGGACCGTGGACTGTTCCTTTTCATGTTCCATTACGAAGGAACACCGGGGTCTTTCTAGTTACGGGATATCCGGTGATAAAGTGTAACGCGACGGATACCGTGGACTTTGACGACCGACCAATTCGTTGAAATAATAATTGCTTGTTTGATGACGCTTGGGGTAAGATACGTGGCGCAGAAATGGACGTCGAGGGATTTTGTTTGGAAAATAGTTATGTGATTATGGGGGATGAGAAGGAAGTGAATGAAGGTAATTAAAGTGTGAAATTTGAATAGCTTAGAAGTTGTATTTAATGTTAATTTAGATTTTGACGGAGAGGTTGATGTTAGGGCAATTATTGAAATACATCGAATGTAGTATTTATAATAGTTCTTGCTTCACGGAGAATTGGAAATCTTAGAAAAAGAGAATTAAGGAACTATTATTTGAGTTAATTGCTTTATAACTAATTCATGCAATGACTTTCTAAAGAAAATACGAACGGACGTAGGTGTCTGCGTCAAATATTCATCCAGACAATTTCCAAAGGAACGAACACGATTAAAATGAAACTAACACAGTGAAAGTACCTATTAAATTAAAAATACTTTCACCGAAGCCTTTCGCTTATGGAACGTATCGTATCAAGATACGATATCAATCGTACGAATCCGAAGCAACAAAAGCAATTTATCAAATGGAAAGACCATCTCCATGAAGATCAAACTCAAAGTCAGTCGCAGAGCTTCAGTGTGCAGAAAGTAAGTTTCCGTGCAATTTAATGCTGACTCGGACGTTATCGAGTTCGGGGAAGTTTAAATTAAAAATCCAGCTGCCCGTGAATGGTGTTTATTTAAAAGATACTCCTAGAAAGTGTGGTATACGAACTTAAATCGTAAATTGTAGAGAACCAAAGGGGAGACGGCAAGAACTGTGCTTTAATTAATTAAACATCGGGACATCGAGCTCATCGACGGGACGTTTACTGCTCGCTCGGAGTTCGTTTAATTTTAGGACGCAGTATTTACGATCGCCGGGACAGAACATGATATTAGAGGATATTAAAATGTTCCTTCCTACATTCTGGACGGGACCGCGTGATACACGGCCCGTTCTTATGAGAATTTCTCCTCTTCCCTAAGTAAACTCTGTATTTTTCACTGGGTCGCCATTACTGCGCCTTAAGCCGCTTGCAAGAAACATTAAAGACTGTCTTTGTAGGACACGGCATTAGCGATCTCGTTCTTTTGTGGAAGTTGAGCCCGATTTTTGTCAGCGAAGCGACGAACCGAGACACCGTTCGCAAAGGTACAATCCGGCGACAGAACAGGAATGTTTTTTAATTTCCGCTGCAAATACTTTAAGCTGCTTTCCGTAATCCCTGTTTCTGCTTAGCGCGACGCGGATCCTTCGGAACTTCCGTTGAAATTGGGAACGGCGGCCGTTGAAGACTTTTAATAGCCCGCGTTGCGCGATGTGTCTTAATTAATTGGAAAAGGGTTCGCGGCGGGGAGACCGTAGAATGGTTTTTGGCATTTTCTGCTTGGGAGCGTAGTGAATTTAGTAATTAAGTTCATTAGGTGTTTAACGAGTAACAGATATAGAATTTTATTATTAATTTTAAATGCTTTTATTAAAGTCTGGAAACTACGAAGCAATACAGTTTGTGTTTAGTACTCATCAATGTTCATATTAAACATTCACTAGTTTCATATAACATTTTTAATTTTTTAATTTTTCCATTATGAGCATAAATGTTCGCAATAATTTGTTCCTTTGTCCGAAAAGAAAATCTTTTCGAAATTCACTTTGTCACACGAAACTGCAACGCTTTTAATAAAAGCTCTGCCAGAAAGAAATTTACAAAGTGTTAGCGACTAATGGAATTTTTCCATGAGCATGTCTGAAGTGACAGAATTCGTTTCAAAAATTCATCCTTTGACCGGCGAAAATTTCTGAAAGTTTAATGCAAAAGTGACGTCGGAAAATTCGCCGTTCCACGCGTGCCAATTTAATAACGGCGGGGAAACTCTATTTGGAAAATATGTACGAAATTGTATCCTGGCTCCTGCGTAAAGGGGGCTCCGGAAATGCGACACGCTTATGGCACAGTTTCAGGTATGCATGAGGACCACTGCAAAAAATATCATTCTTTCAATGTGTTTAAAGCCACCGTCGCGATCCCCAGAATGTTCCATGCGGTCAGGAATTTTTTGCTGAAAAATGCATCCTGGTGCTTCAAACTTTGAATCCGCCGAGAACATTCTAAGCACCGCGACGCTGGCTTTGAACGGATTGAAAGGGGAAGATTTTTGCGGTGGTTTCCATGGCTGACAGGAAGCGGGCATACATTAATGCGATGATATTAAATTTAGTTCATATTAACCATTCCAAATTTAAATGTCCTTACATTTAATTACAGATGAAAAGAACTAATGTTCACGGTATAAGATAATTTGACAAATTTAATGGATTCAAAATAACGGAAAAAATGCTGAAGAATAAGATTTTAAAAAATACTAACAAGATATGTAATAATTTAACTAATTAAGAATATATATTAAATATACTATCAGATCTAAAAAAAAACAATTTCGATGATAATTACTCTGTTGAATCAACAGAAGCTTAAAATTTGAAATTTCGAAATATCTGTCGTACGAAAATTAAACACGAACTTACAGAACTATGTGAACAATTCGAGACAACTTAAAATCAAGATTTAATTAACCCAGAGAAACGAACTCTACAAATAATAATATTGATCGAAGAACCATCAAATTAATTCACACAGCTAATATCCGAGGGAATAACGTTCAACGTTAACCTGTCCTTTTATAGACACTGTTTCCATGTTATTGGAGCGTTACTCACTACCTCGCAATTTGCTCCAAAGGAACGACTCGATTTAGGGTATCGATAAAACGCGAACACGGTAAGCCGCGTTTCGCGTTGTTCATTTGGCGAAATTGAAATGACCGACAGCGCGCCGAGCGTCGCCGGCCCTGTGACAACGGTGTTGGGAAAATGAGAAATTCCACCAAGTTTAATGAAAGTATTTAACAGGCAAAATTGCTGTCTCGCGTACCGCACCGGTGTTCCGGGCAGCGAGCTGAAGCTGACGCGCGCACCACGGGGAAATTGAAACGCGTTTCCGCGGGGGTGTTCGTTAAACAAATTTTACGCGGTTAATTTTTTCACGAAATTGTAGGGTCGCGTCGCTAGGAAAATCGAAGAAAACGGACCGGTCGAAATGTTATCATTCTCTAGTTAACTGCGCGTGGAAAGAGGACGACGAATGTTAGTTCGAGAGAAAGCCTTCTAAAATAAATCAAATTCACAAACGTAGCCAGTTTTTTCATTGAATTAATTGGAAAATTCCGTCGTTAAAAATACTGATATTTGGAACATTTTTAATGAAGAAGTTTGCTTTAATTGGTGAACCGTGTATAATAATAAATAATAGGAAGTATAATAATAAGTAATACACGTTCTAGAAAACTTAGTAGGCGAATAATAGTAAACAGAGGATTAAATACTAACGAATATTATCAAAAAATCTCTTATAAAAATTCCTTTGCATTTAACAAAATTGTAAATGTCATTAATACATCAGGGTACATAATTTAAATATAAAAGACTAATAAGTAACAACTTCAGTTTAAAAGACTATTTCCTTTTACAAGAAACGACAGAATTTTCCAGTCAATGTAATTAATGAAGTTCATTAGTCAACGATCTACACATGCGGTGTTCCCATGCAAAGTCAGCAAAAGACCGACTCACCTGTTCGTAATTCCTGATGAAGTCGCGAAGTTCCCGCTCCTTGTCTTCCAAGGTGCCATACAGCGCCTTCATTTGATTAAGAAGATCGAACTTCTCCGCTTTGAGCCTCTTCCGGTCGGCCTTCAGCGCTTGGAGAGCTTCTTTTGCGTGTTGCAGCTCCATCTCAAGAGCCACGAATCTCGCTTCTTCTTCGAGCGCCGCATCCTCTGAGCCGACTTCCCCGCGCGCCGCTCCGCTGAATAACAATCTCCTGAGTCTCGCCACTTCCGCTACCAAACGTTCGTTCTCCAATCGGAGCCGCCTTGTGCTGGCTAGCTCCACGGAGCCGTTGCTGCCGCCGCCGTGGATGTTGGACAGTCTGGATGCTACCAGTGGATCTCCAATTCCTGGAAGAAACAGTTTCGACAATGTAGGAAAAAGGACTAACTGTTTGACAACCTGGGAAAACTTTTGTATTTAGATATTTGACAACTAACTCTTCTTTTCAGTGAATGATTCTTTATATTGAAACATGGACAATTTGGTGTTTAAATATGTTATGATATTCGAATTGATAATAGCTTAAATTTTGTAATGTTTGTAATGTATAAATGTAGATTATAAACTATGTGTTGAGTGATTGATTGTTCACTTTGGTAACGTTGAAAGTAGCAACTGTTTGTATGTCTTTTGAATTAGTATAGCAAGTGAAGATCGTACTAATTGTTAAATAATTTATATTCTAGAAAATTGTATGTTAACGTAAAAAATTTCCTACGGGTCGGAAGAAATATTAAATATTTTCAAAGTGCCACTTAGTGTAAGGTTGCAAAAGATTCTACCCCGGCGGCTCTGTGGTTAATGCATTCGACTGGACATAGAGACGTCCGAATGGATCCAATATCCAAAGCTTGATCTCATTTATGGTACCCTGCCTCTATAATGGCACTCTGTCAGCTTCTTTGTAATCGTATCAGCATCTCCGCTATACCAAGAGGGTAACCGACAATAGGTTGACCGCAGGAGAGAAGTGAGCCGGTAGCCAATGGACCGATCGAATGTTGCTAGGAGCAATTACATCAAAAGGCTACTACGTCAGTAACCTTGTCGCGTCTCAAAATATTTAATAAGATTGTTTAACTAGGTTACCTCATCATTATACGTGTCGATCCTTAATAATGTTACTATTTAGTTATTAGAACATACATAACTGTGTCACTTGTAGACCCTTTACCATCTAACCACTATTCACCACTACACTGCCCTTCCTCCGAGTCAAGTTCCAAGCAAAGAAACCTCCATCCTCTATACAGAAACAAGTAAAAATATCCCAATTTCCAACAACAACCATAAATCTTCACAGTCAACTCGAATGCAGTTAAAAACCTAATCCCACTTTCAAAAGACCTTACCAATAATCAAAACACCAATCCCAAAGTTATTGGGATTAACTCCTACATTACAATTAAAAAATCACGTCCAAACTGCATCGCCAATTCCCATCCATCCATCCGCAAACATACATCCGACACCCAAAGAACATCCAACCCACGCCAAATCCACAAAGAAACTATCCAGCTAGAACATAGCAAGAGCAGCGACGTATCATTCTCAATAATGCACCCGAACCGTCAGCCCCGTCTCACAGCGTCTCGGAGCCGTCTCTCGTTAGACCGGTCGCCACATTGAAGAAAGCGCCAGCAGCGCGCATTCATCTTGAGCCGGAGCGCCCGTTTAATTCCCGGGATTCGCAGGAACGAACGAACGAACGAACGAACGACGACGACGAGTCGGAACAATCGCGGACACCGAGCGCGCCGGGGTGAAGCTGAAAGGGAGAGCTTCCATAATTAAATGCTGGGGTTACCCACCCAGGGAATTAGCCGGGGACGAGGGTCTGCTGCCCGGGGCTGGTCCAGGTGGTTCATTGTCCTCCTCGGCCCGCACCTCGCCGTCCACCAGGTCCTTGTCGATGTCCTTCTCGTGATCGTTCATCTCCTTGCTGGATCGCAGCGACTCGCGGTTGTTCGTCGATATTCGCAGTCGCTCGCCGCTGGATCGATCGCTGCCCCCGCGATGCAGGAAACCGCCGCGGTTGCTGGATCCTCGGTCCGGGCTGGCGCTGCCCGATCGCGAGTCCACGCTTCCGCCGGAACCGCCCAAACGCGTCTTCTCCAACGCCGGAGCATACGGGCGGCGAGCTTTTTCGCTGGGACTGCGACTAGGCGAGCCATTCCGTTTTTCTGCGGTGGAAATTGGATTGGTTAGGGGATATGCTGCCTCTGCGTTGGAAACTGTTTTGGTTAGGGGATAGCTTCGCGCGGGAGATAGCTTTCTTGCGATAGTAGCTATAGAATGGAAATTGTTTTGCGTAGATGCTGTCTATTCGGAGATTATTTTAGTTTAAGGAATTTGTTTTTTGAATTATAGATTTCAGTGATGTAGTGTTTTATCGCTGCGCTATTTATATATGTAGAACTTCATAGAACTTTGGTTATAATCGAATTATTGCTTTGTGAAGTTAATCTTAGCAAATGGATGTCTCGATTTTGGTGGTTCCAGGAATGAGACACAGTAATTTCATATTTTTTAATTATATTTCATCCCCTTCGAGTCAAGAAAATTCGCGATATTTCATATAAGCAGCCTTCGATGACTTAAAATTCAATTCCTTAGGCTTAACAATTAAACGGAGGCGTACACTTTTCACGCGGAATTTTACTAGGGCGATAATAAACGTTGCAGAAAGAGTGTTTATTACACTATAAGTGCGCGGAATCTTCGTTCAGCGTGCTGCGAGCGGAAGCGTTCCAAGCTCCCGTGTATTCGTGAAGAGCGCATAATAACCGGTAAAAGTTTTAGGTGAATTTAATTGGCCGGGCGTTTCAGGAATCTTTCATCAAAACACGCGTTACCGTGCTCGCCGATGGGCGACAAAGGATGGGTGGGACACGGTACGGGACGGGATGGTTAAAAAACGTAATGAAATCTGCCGCGCGTCGGTCAGAGAAGAATGTTCACAAAGCCCGTGACAGCTGGCGCGCGGGGTTACGCGCGTTCGCCATCGTATTACAAGTTGCCGGAGAAAATGGTGAATCATGGCCAGTCGTAAAACCGGCGGCAAAGTAACTGCGAGATAGCGAGCTGTATATATACCGTGTTCCGGAAATCAAGATAAACTTTTAACCGTGAGGTACGCGCGTGAACTCCGCTTTTGAATTATACCGGGCGGCAACTTCGCGGGGGCAAGATTTACCGCGCGCCCTAAACGTGAGTTAAAGGAACGAACATTTATGGGGGAAGTTGCAGCCGGTGTCGTCCGCGAACACTTTTACGTGATACCCCTCGAGTCTTTTGTGTTGCGTCGAACTGCGCGAGCGAAATGAAACTTGTTCTTGGAGGATTTGGTTAGCGGAAAGTACCTTTGATTATAGGCGTAACGAAGGTTTAGGGAAGATGTGTCCGTGTAACAGTACAATGTTGTCTTTCATAGAATTACTCGGTTGCGATAAAAGTCCCGAGACACCCGGTATAGGTCTTTTAACGACCACTTTTGCTGCGATGTATACCTGAGTCATCTGAGAACGACTTTATACTTTGTAAGCAAATAAGAAGAATCTTATTGCCAGGAGAGTTTCTTTATTTTGCGAAGAGGATACTTCAAAATATAAAGTACTTGCAATATTTAATAGTAAAACATTGACTTTAAAAGACGATATCAAACTTCGTTCAAGAGTATCCATTTTGTTTATATAAACGAATCCAGCAGGAAGAAGATTAATCTTGAAGTTCAAGAACACTGTATCAAGAATGTCTTCCATTTGGAAGCCAATTGCAACGAAAGTTAGCTGCAAAAGAGGATTCTACAAAGTGACTTCTTAACCATTCCTAAGTAGACAAGTACCTCTCGAATCAATAAAAGATGACAATTCGGTAGCTATATCAAGGAAATTCCAAAGTCTAAAGCTAACTGAACGTAATCCCTAACCCTCTGCGCTTGATGTTGCATGTAAATGTCACCTGAGAGGAGACTTCCGCGTGCAGGGGGCTAAATATTGAATTAATTCCATCCCCAATCTCATCATGCACCAACCTATGGGGCTAGCTCGTCGATCAATAGGACTGGTCCTCTCCTTCCTGTCAACGGGACTGGTCCTCTTCTCGATGGGACTGGCAGACTTGTCGCTGGCCGAGCTTCTCTTCTCCACAGGGCTGCTGCTGGCGCTAAGCCTCTTGCCATCGTCCTGCGATTGTTGCTGTTGGACGGCAACCTCTGTTGTCTCCTGGACTCCAGGAGTGGTGTTGTTCGCGGCGGTGCCCGTCCCGTTGTTGTTGCTGTTCCCGGCCGCGGTGTTGCTCGTCCCGTTGTTGTTGTTCAACACCACCGGCAACGCGCCTCGCACGTCCCTCAGCTCGCCGCGGAGTGTCGCGCACTCGCCCCTGGCGCGCTCCAGCTCCCCGTCAAGCCGGGCGCCCGTCGCTGCGTTCTCCTCCACCATCACGCGGAATTTTGCCTGGAAAAAGAAATACGAACTTCATAGTCACCGATGTCTGACAGCGAGCAGACCGCTGCGGGCTGGACGTTAATCCTCGGCTAATGAGCTAGGGTGGCGGACAACGAAGCCATATTCATTGGGAAATAATGAAATTTACATGGGCCTCGTATTACAACGTGATTAAGGGGGACTTGACGGTTGGATTTGCGGATTTTAGTTTTATTCGATGCTCGTGTTCGCTTTTTGGGGATAGGGATGATCGTGAGATGGCATTGTGAGATGTTCTGATTGATGTTTGATCATTGTTGTGAGATTCGTATTGTCGCATTTGTGAAATTTGGTTTTTGTCTGGAAAATTTGTATTATTCTGTTTGTAATTTGCATTATTTCATTCGTAAAATTCAATTATTTTGGTAAAGATTCTTACCCTTTAAACACACTTTCTATGAAATTGAAATTTCTTTTCATTTTTACTATCGTACGCTTTTATAACGCAACGAGAATAACTTTTATTAAATTACAAATATAATAAAGATACACTAGCCTTATCGCCTACTTCTAAACGAATACAATGAAGAAAACTTACACAATTCGTTCAATTCCCGAAGTTTAGCACTCTATTCCAATTCTGAGAACAGATAGCACCAAGTGGTAGAAATAGGAACAATCCTAAAGAAAGACTAATCGAACGGCATCGGTTCCGTTATTGCAATCCGGAATCGAGCCAAGGGAACTTCCTCCGACCGGAAGTCCCACGAACAATCGCCGATTCACCGACACGGAGCACGAAACTTCGACGCAAATTTCAAAGGGGACGTTAATCAAAACTTTTTAGCTGATTTTTCAGCCCTGCGATGAATTAATGGTGCTGCGACCCTTTGTTTGTTTAGCGAGTCTCCTCCC